CCGGATGTATCAATCCGCTGTTTTCTGATATATATATATATTATATTTATATCTTAAAATTAATTATTGCTACTCAAATTGAGTAGCAATAATTAATTTTAAGATATAAATATATCTTGCTCTACTATAATACTAGTGTTGAGCACTTTATTATCTACTACAACAAAACAAGTTATATATATATATATAAGCATATTATTTAAAGTGAAGTGCATTAAATATATTTCGGTGCTGTGGTTGAATTAATTTTGATCGTATCCCATTTTTCATCATCAAGCGGGAAAAATTTGGGCTTAATTCGGTCAATTATTTTCATAAATGTTGCAATGAACAAAATGATTTCTCACTGCTAAAATTTGTAATTGTGTGTCAAAAAGCATTTTTCAAGCATGTTCATTCTGTGAAATAATCAGGAAAATAAATATGTAATATACAATTATTGGACGAAGTTGAGCAGATCAATTATTTGCCGATGCCGAAGGCAGAGGCAAATAATCAAATAATTGATATTTGAGCCACTGACAAATCACAATATTTTGCGATAACCAATTAATTTAATAATTTTATCATTTACTGTTCATTCTCGAAATTTTGTGGCCGTCACGAAGTTCAACAATTTGTACAATAACGCCAAGTCGTCTTCTGAAAGCTCAGCAAAAACAAGCCATGTTTGCTTTTGTGTTTATTTGAATTGTTTTTCATACGTCTTAAATCGCATGCGTAAATCAATATTTTATAATTGGGAATTGATTTCAAAAGTGAGCATGCTCAGACCATTATTTAGCCAATCAACGTTGAGAAAATGAATAAGTAAATGATAATTTTAATTAGTTTACCTTCTGTATAGTATAGTAGTATAGTGTTGCGTTGCGTTGCGTTACGTTGCGTTGCGCTGCATTGTATTGTTGAGTAGAAAAGCATAATTTGCATTGTAACAAAAGGGTTTTATCCAGTTTTTATCGGGTTGTTTCAGCAGCTTTTCAGCCACGCTTGGACTAAAGTAACAAACTTGGACTAACTGATTTCAAATTTACTTCGCATATAACTGGAATTTTATTGGAATTTCATTATAACCATGAACCATCAAACAAAAAATAAACACATTATTTACCGTTTAGGTTGGTCCGTATTGAGAAAATATTCCCCTAGGCCTGAAGCGTCCCTTGGCCGCTTCTGCATGAGACCTCGGGAAAATATTTTTTCAGTACGAACCTCGCAGCCGGTAAACAACATTTAGAAAATTATTAAGCATAAAAGAAGGATTTCCTTTTTCAATTTTCATACATTCTGTTCAATATAATTAGCCTTTCTCACGAAGGCCAAAACCCGCCATTTTTGGGGTACTGTCTGCACCCTCGTGAAAGATTCTAGACAATTCAAACAATGCGAAAAGCGTAAAGCGACGTTTAAAGTTGTAACTATAACTTTACCATTATACGAACAACTATAGTATAATACTAAAAAGTTGTTTTTCATCGTGCAGAGACTCTCAAACGTAGGACAGGCAGTACCCCAAAATGGCGGAAAAATCGGCCGTGAGAAAGGCAACGCAACATGCACTAAATCAGCAAATTTGAAAAATTAATATAAGAACATTTTCTCATTGAAGGAACCAAGATCTGTTACAGTCACCACAGTTAATTCGCCGAGTGCATCACAAGCTGAGGCCAAACCAATGATTATGACCAAATTATTCAAGAAGAAACCTCAACCACCGAGTGGAAAAAATACAAACTGCAAGCATTGATATGCATGATTAATATTCAAAGTATGTTTTCAGATAAAATGCATGTGACACGACAAAAAATATTAAACGAAGACTGAATAAACAGATTTTGGTTAATACAAACCATGAAACCATACTTAAACCCCCCAATACCCCTAAACACCCCAACACCCAATGGAGTTGTTTGGGGGTACCCCAATGGGATGTTTGTGGTACGGGTTGACGAGGAGAAAAAGAGGTGGCAGATTATAGTTATAGATGCAGTAATAATCATGCAATAATAATCATACAGTCATAATCATATAGTCATATAGTCGTAGACATAGTCGTGTAGTCTTTTTCATGTAGTCATACAGTCATTGTCATATATTCATCCAAATACCCCCTTAGGGTACGCCACACACCCCTTTGTACCCCAAATACCTCATTGCACTCCCCAAACATCCCAATTGAGGAACCTCCAAACACCCCCAAATGATATACCTCCTAAACCCCAACTGGTGTACCACCAAACATTCCAATGGGGTGCCTCCAAACAACCCCATTGGTGTATATAATCGTGGCCATAACAGTCATAGTCATAATAATCATGTTGTCGTATAGTCATGTAATCATATTTAGTCATATCAGTGATGTAGTTATAGTTACGCATTTGGTCATATTCATAGTCATGAACAAGTTGGCAGGGTGGGTTAGGATAAACACAGTTCACAATTGATGTAATATAAAGATAAATAGTCTTCGCTAAGTAAGTAAGTAAGTAACATAAGTATGCGTAATACTTGATGTAATCGGGCACTGTTTTAAAAAGCCCGAATTGGAAGTGAGCGGAATAATGCAATGTAATGATCTAGGGCAGAGAGAAATCCCGCAAGCCCAAGCCGCACAGATTAAAGTTATTGTCACGATATTACCTTAGAAATGTTCGAAATAGATCTTACTAAATTTGTGCATACGTTTAAAACGAAATAAAATACTCGAGATAATACATATCTGTTTGTTTATATGTAATCTGAGGCAGTTTCGCTAAATAGCGACAGCTAATTTGCCCTTATTATCATATCTCACTCCGTTTGCAATGGGTGAGTTATCCGTGAGTCACATCGTGAGTCATGCTCGTTAGTCACGCTCGTTAGACTCGGCCAATCAGCGCGCGGCCGCATCCTTTGTACGGTGAAGGAGTAGGGAGGGGGGGTTATCTACTATTGATATTCTGACTTGGAAGGTATACGATTAAAACCATTATGGATTGTAAAATTTCCTGCAATGACACTGTTGAAACTCAACGATCATGACTGATTGCATCGAACTATAGCTATCTGTTTTTACACGACTGGCCAAGACTCCTCCGTGCGTGCGGTAGAACATGAATACGCATGTAATAATACAATGCATGCACCAGACACTGGTATTGTACTTTGCACTAAATAATTTCATACAGTACTTCACGCGTTCAGTAATTTACAGCAGGCACATTATAAATCTTATAAAGACCTTTCATTGGCATTGCCATTGCCCTTTATTTACAGAATAATCCAGCTTCTTTTAACTTGTATCATGCCGCTGTGGCTCATCATTATTTATATCAACTTTATCGTATACTGTGATTGACGTTTTAGAAGTTTCATCAAACGATGCTAGAGATAAACAGCCGATATATCAATTGAACTATGAGGGGGTTATAACTGAAACTCATTAAGTGCTATATCTGTGCGAGACTTCGCGCGTATATACTGGTTATGAATGATGTATATATCCCTGACAAAATATATTTCAAACACTCATTAATAATTCATAAGCTTATTGACAAATCATGTCGACCATAATATGTCACGTGCAGAGGCTATAAACCTGATAAAACACTCCTAATTAGTATTCTTTATATAAAGAATACTAATAAGGCAGCATCTATTGCAGTCATGTCCTCATTAGTATTCTTTATATAAAGAATACTAACAAGGCAGTATATCTATTGAATCGTGTTTTATTAGGCAGTATATCTATTGAGTCGTGTTTTATTAGGTCTAAAGCCACTCGCGCTGCGCGCTCGTGACTTTAAACCTAATAAAACACTCCTGCGAGTTTATTAAACAGTACATAGAGATACTTTACACTAGATATGATATAGCTCTGGAGAAATAACCAGTGGTTTGGTAAAAATAATTGACCATACCTTTACTATAGGCTATAGCTGGGATACTGGTAGCAGTTTGTGGCCAAACACATCTTGCATTTTGTGCGCAACATTAGCTAATTTGACTTGTATATCATACATGGTCCCTTCCTGGCATAGGCGTACGAGACAGGGGGCATGGGGGGGGGGGATCGCCGCGCCCCCCCCCAAAAAAAAACCCTTTGGAAAACCATGGAAATTCGGGCAAATGCTAGGAAAAATCAACAAAATTAAATTCGGGTATATTTATCAGAAAATAGGTTAAATTCAGGTAATTTCATTACAATCCTCCAGAAAATTCGGGCAAACTTTTGAACTGCCTCCTCCCCCCCCCCCGAAAGCATCAGTCCCGTACGGCTATGCTTGCTGGTGTACGCCATATGGCTGCTGCATTGAAGCACATACCAGAAAATCAGGCAAAATATCATTTACTTCACACAGATATAACATATAGCTTACATTGTCAGAGTTAGTGCCGTATCTGGATACTGAGAGATATCCCAGTGGATCGCATTATTTGGACAAGGATCCACCCTACCTGTAAACAGTGTTCAGTGTTCAACTACCAATGATAGCGCCGTATGCAAGATTTTTTTTACCAGGGGGCTTATATCCAAAAATATGTACCCAAATGTCAATGAGTTCAAAGCAGCTTTCTCTCCTATTTCTTATTCCATACGTTCTTTGATTTCTGATTCACTAACCCAATTCACTATGACAAAATGGCAGTTTTCAAAGCTTGCTTTTCGAAAGTCAACTAATTTAGGTAAGGTAGTGTATTTGAAAATGAATTTTGATATTTTATTTCATTTTTGTTGTTGTTATGTGTTTGTTGCGATGGTCTTGTGGGTGAAACTATTGGATCAGTTGAGGCAACTTGAATTTGCTTGCCTAAGATTTCAGAGCATTGCTTTTGTTGTTGTAAAGTTTGTCTTTCGCAATATACTTTTAATAATACGCTTCCCTCGTTTCTGTGGCCCGAGACCTGCATGATACGGTGGACTGGAATTCCTGCTGTATAAAGTAAAGTAACCGATGTTGCCCTTATACAATGATTTGTATAAATTTGGCTTAGTTTAGCTGCACTTGATATTTCTTTCATCATATTTCCCAAGGTGTTGACACCAAGCGGAGCTCGATCAAACCAGATTTCGTCGCTAGCGGAAAATTTTCTTTTTGGCCTTTCATTTTAGGGTCCGCCTCGTCTGCCTTGTCGCTAAGACCGCCAGGATGATTTTTTGTTTTTTCTTGCTCGGCCATTTCAACATACTCAACATTACATTACATTACATTACATTACATTACATTACATTACATTACATTACATTTCATACTCAACATTATTTGCATCCGTCTTGAAAATGAAACTATTCTTTGACAATTTTCTCTGATTTTCCCTGCCTCTTCGACAGAAATATAGGTTTATGTTGAACCAATCCACTCTTAATAACTATCGAGGGGAGTCGTCTCCAAAAATACCACTCTCGTAACATTTTTGTATGTCCTCAGGTGGGATACTCGAGTCCTTCACTTTGGACGAACCACATTCCTTGATTTTCTTTAGCTTAATTCGCATTCAAGGATTTGTTTGCTGTCTTGAAAATGGGATCACTTATGATTGATGAAAGTTTTTCCTACTCTTTCTGAAGTTAAATATCGGTTTATTCCCGCTCTTATAGCAACATGAGCTGAACGGCTGTATTCTCTTCCGTCGTCTTGTTTTAGTTCTTGATAAAACTTTGTTGGTCGTTCTGCTAGTATTTCTTTGCTTAAATTTTCCAGCTCTTCGAAAGGATATCTCAAGTGCAACCATTCTTCAGAAAAAGAAAAGGAATGATAAGTACATTTTAAAATGCTGTCAAAACAAGACAAGGAATGCAAGAAGCAAAAAATTGGACTTTTCGAGCACTTGTTTACAAACGGAAAAATGGCGAATAATATTTGTTTTTGCTTGGTTTACTGACCTCTGAAGATTGCTATCAGCTTGTTTGTCTTTTCGTACTTTTAGGTATTGCATCATCTATAAGCTGATTAATTTCTTCTTCATCGACTCGAGCAAACCTTGAGCCGGCAGCCATTTTCAATAATGCACATTTTTTATGCATTATTGTCAATAACGCATTCGCAGGATTCGTTGTTGCCAGGTAACAAAAACACACGTGATCGATTTTGACCAATGACGTGCGTGCATTTTGAACAGTGAACAAAGATTATATATTAATAGTTATACTTTATTTTGTTTAACACACCCTGCCAAATATCTCGAATGTAAAAATAGAATATCCAATACGGCGAGGTTCTCAAAGGAATTATTAAAAACATTTCATATATAAGAAATTGCGAAAACGTATTATAGGGTAGGAAGTTATTGTTGTAATAGAGATAATATAATTTAAAGAAACAAGGGAAACAATAGTTCTGACTCTTGACTTATACTGTATTCTTTACAGTATTGAAACATTCATACAAACGAGGGGGGGGGGTTATAAACTTTTCAGTTTTTCCGCCGTTCCGGGCGTTAGCCCGCGGTGAGGGTACTAAATCCGCCTGGCTATTTACACCCGGGGAAAGGGAACAGGGTTCGTACACCTTCTCCATTTAAAATTTCATGACTTTTCCATGACTTTCCATGACCATTTTTTCAAAATCCATGACCTGGAAGTCTGGAATTTCTGAAATTCGTTAATATTTTAACGATAACAGATATAATAAAAGAACAAAATTCACTTCGCTCTTGCAAAAATATGTTATATAATAACAATTCATATTATTATATACCAATAGTCAAAGTCGCATTTTTCTAGTGTTTTATTGGTTGAGAGCATATCACGTGAGAGTGACGAAATTAGGCTGTCTCCCTCGCAACAGCTCGAGAGGGAAACAATACGTTATCGACCGGCGAATAACGAAAAAAATCACGTGCGCCATCATGTGAAGATGCGACCTTTGGACATACCTACACAATCTCACATCTTGTAACAAGTCTGCCAACAAACCGTCAACAAGATGTATTCGCGCTGCTTATCACAAGTTGTCAACAGGTTTGGAACAACTTGTTGACAACTTGTAACAACCTTGTCGAAATTATCAAACTTGTTGCAAGGTTGTTCTGACAGGACTTGCACTGCATTGCACTGCACTTGCACTGCACTGCACTGCACTGCACTTGCACTGCACTGCACTGCACTGCACTGCACTGCACTGCACTGCACTGCACTGCACTGCACTGCACTGCACTGCACTGCACTGCACTGCACTGCACTGCACTGCACTGCACTGCACTGCACTGCACTGCACTGCACTGCACTGCACTGCACTGCACTGCACTGCACTGCACTGCACTGCACTGCACTGCACTGCACTGCACTGCACTGCACTGCACTGCACTGCACTGCACTGCACTGCACTGCACTGCACTGCACTGCACTGCACTGCACTGCACTGCACTGCACTGCACTGCACTGCACTGCACTGCACTGCACTGCACTGCACTGCACTGCACTGCACTTCACTGCACTGCACTGCACTGCACTGCACTGCACTGCACTGCACTGCACTGCACTGCACTGCACTGCACTGCACTGCACTGCACTGCACTGCACTGCACTGCACTGCACTGCACTGCACTGCACTGCACTGCACTGCACTGCACTGCACTGTAGGAATGACCTCAGAAATGCAATTATAAATGCATTGATCTTAATAGTGCAATAGTGTATAAAAACATAGACTTTGAAATGATGTAACAAGTGTTGTCTTGCAAATGTATTTTTAGCCAATCTAGCACACATGATTTTTAAAACTTCATGAGGGAGCACGGATCCTCCTCGTAGCGCCCCCTATTAGTGCCCTTGGCAACTGTATTCATTCCACCTCATGATAAGATCTCTGATGTATGCATCTAAATTAGTTTTATATTATATCCCTAAAAGTATTATTAAGATTCTCAGTGCACTGAAGTTAATATATATATATATATATATATATATATATATATATATATATATATATATATATATATATATATATATATATATATATATATATATATATACCGTATATATATATATAGCTTAAGATTTTGGCCCTCTCTACGTCGACAATAGATCGAACCACCCACCCTCTATCATCAACCATATCCCTTCCTCAATTAGCAAACGCATCTCCTCGCTCTCTTCCGATCAAGCATCCTTTGATTCTGCTGCACCACTCTACGAAGATGCGCTTAAGCGCAGCAACTACGATGTACCTCTGCAATACTCGGCCGGTGATAATTCCTCCAGTTTGCCATCTACCAACCGAAGACGTCGTAGAAACATCAATTGGTTTAATCCACCCTTCAGCAAAACAGTTCGAACTAACATCGGTCGAAATTTCCTACAGTTAATTGATAAACATTTCCCTTCTACCAACCCGCTCCATAAGGTCTTTAACCGCAACACAGTCAAAGTTAGCTACTCCTGCATGGAGAATATCAAAACCATAATATCCCGACATAACCATCGCCTGTTAAAGAAAAACCCTACACAAAAACCTGTCCCATGCAACTGCCAAAAAACAGATGAATGCCCACTAGACGGAAAGTGCAAAGTAGACAACATTGTCTATAAAGCCACGGTGACAACTGATGACAGAAATACAAAAGAGTACATTGGAATGACGGCCAATCCATTCAAAGAAAGATACGCCAACCACAAAACGTCATTCAACCTCTACAACCACTCGTCTGACACAAAGCTTTCGAAGTACATTTGGAGTCTGAAGCAAAGTAGAAGAAATTACAGCATCAAGTGGTCCATCTTGAAATGAGCTGCTGCGTACACGCCTGGTGGAAAGCGATGTGGCCTCTGTTTGGAAGAGAAATTATGTATCCTGAAAGCGAAAGGAAACAATTCACTGAACACGCGATCAGAGTTTTATGCAAAGTGCTGTCACAAGGAAAAATTTAGCGCGTGCAAATTCAAACCGGTGACGATAGACAAACCTCCACGTATATATATATACATTTATATATATATATATATATATATATATATATATATATATATATATATATATATATATATATATATATATATATATATATATATATTTTATTTAAATATATAGATATAGTTTTTCGTTTTACCTCAAAAAACCACAACAGTCTGTTTCATCCGTATAGGAATCATCAGGTGATGATTCCTATACGGATGAAACAGACTGTTGTTGTTTTTTGAGGTAAAACGAAAAACTATATTACGCTCTGTCTATACGGTATTGAGCACTGTTTGTGTTTCGTAAACCAAAATCTTAAGCTATATATATATATATATATATATATATATATATATACGACAAGAACGCCATTCAACCTAATACGCATGATCTCTGCATGTCACAGATTTAAATCAACGCAAAGGCCTAAAGGCAATAGTGCCCCAAGCTCACTACCAGCAACTGCGGACAGCTATTTCGCCCTTTTGGGGCTCGTCAGCGCAGTGTAGCTGATAGTGAGCTTTTCATCCGAAAAGTATTTATACAACCAACAATGAGACGATGGATGTGGGACACATGAATTATATATACGACAAGAACGCCATTCAACCTAATACGCATGATCTCTGCATGTCACAGATTTAAATCAACGCAAAGGCCTAAAGGCAATTGTGCCCCAAGCTCACTACCAGCAACTGCGGACAGCTGTTTCGCCCTTTTGGGGCTCGTCAGCGCAGTGTAGCTGATAGTGAGCTTTTCATCCGAAAAGTATTTATACAACCAACAATGAGACGATGGATGTGGGACACATGAATTATATATTGAGCTTGGGGCACAATTGCCTTTAGGCCTTTGCGTTGATTTAAATCTGTGACATGCAGAGATCATGCGTATTAGGTTGAATGGCGTTCTTGTCGTATATATAATTCATGTGTCCCACATCCATCGTCTCATTGTTGGTTATATATATATATATATATATATATATATATATATATATATATATATATATATATATATATATATATATATATATATATATATATATATATTGCCTATAGGCCTTTGCGCTGATTTAAATCTGTGACATGCAGAGATCATGCGTATTAGGTTGAATGGCGTTCTTGTCGTATATATATTCATGCGTCCCACATCCATCGTCTCATTGTTGGTTGTATAAATACTTTTCGGATGAAAAGCTCACTATCAGCTACACTGCGCTGACGAGCCCCAAAAGGGCGAAACAGCTGTCCGCAGTTGCTGGTAGTGAGCTTGGGGCACAATTGCCTATAGGCGTTTGCGCTGATTTAAATCTGTGACATGCAGAGATCATGCGTATTAGGTTGAATGGCGTTCTTGTCGTATATATATATATATATATATATATATATATATATATATATATATATATATATATATATATATACCAAATATGTATTTAGAATCATATATGAGTAGAGTGCTCGATATACCGAAGTATCGAGCTAATATAGATAAAGCTAAAATAAACCTGGTTTACTTCATAAGATTTATTCACTACAAACTTGTTTCGTATGACAAGCATTGCTTGTCATACGAAACAAGTTTGTAGTGAATAAATCTTAATATATATATATATATATATATATATATATATATATATATATATATATATATATATATATATATATATATATATATATATATATATATATATATATATATAATATTTATGAAATAAAGTACAAAACAAACGTTGTTACTCAGAGTTTCATGCCTGAGTTTACAGACAATCTTCGGACAACTAAAGTTCTGTTAACTAAATTTGACGGTTTGGTTTGGTTTGCTTGCGCGTGCATGATTGCGCACGTTGTTCGATTGCACGCGAATGTATTTTCCCGCCAGAAATTGTTTTTGATGGACGCAATTCGAGAATATTTCACTTCTTTTGTTGAGCAGCGAGTTCTTTTTAAATTTCATGATGAAAAGTTTTTCGTCGCTACACAAATTGCACTGATTACGTCCCGATCCGTATGCACTCGAATGTTTTAAAATTGTCCATTTAATTTTGTATGGGCGATTGCTTTTCTTCAAACTCCATATGTAGTTCGACAGTTCAATG